AACGTAATTTAAAATATTGTCTCATTATAAGAATTAATGTAAAATGCTTGTTCTTTTTTCTTGAGTCTCACTTGAATTAACAAAACATTAAATTCTCGTTAATTTATATTCATTATTTTTTTGTTTACTTTGTTACGAAAACTACGAAATTATTTCAACAAGATCTTTTGTTTGTTGTAATATGCTGATCATACAAAAATAATAACATCATATTATTTAGTCAAATAAACGTTTTTAGATTGCATAAAAATCATAATTTTAAAAATTTCTTGGACACATATTGGGTCATAGAAACGAAAAAAGAAAATTTATATATACAATGAAATACTAATCGGATAATAATTTGCATTTATATTGTATTTTCAATAAACATCAACAGGTATTTGTTCATTTCTTTTCTTTTTTTTTTTTTGTCACCATTAAGAATGAATAGGTCGATGATTTTCTTTTTCTCTTCTCATTCGTTCTTTTTCATTCTCTTTCTCACATCGTTCTCGTTGTCGTGTCGTCTCCTTGTTTTTGACATTATAAATCATTGCTTAGCAACGCCTCCTCAACGAAGTAATGTCAACAATTCGTTCGTCTATACACAAGTTGATACTCGCGTTCTCTCATTGGTATTGAATGTAAAGTAACGACAGAGGAGGAAAAATGGTGAAGTTGAAGTCATAGAGAAAGGAAAAAAGAAAAAAAAAATACTATATTCAAAACACAAAATAAAAGTGTGCATGTTAAAGTTTTCTTTTTTTTTTTTTTTTTTTTGTTAAATTTTTCTTTTTCTTTTTTGTTCTTTTTTTATTCTTACACTATAGATCTGATTAAACAAGAAAAAACAAAACAATTTTCATGTTTTAATAATAAAACAAAAATCTTCTAATGAGTTCCAATCAACAACAATTACTTGCTTGTCTTCATACAGGTTTAACTGTTGATATACAACGATCGAATGGTCGTATACATCAAGCTGTTATAACACAAATAAATCATGAAACAAAAAGTGTTACAGTTGAATGGCAAGAAAAAAATGAAGGCAAAGGAAAAGAAGTTGATTTAGATGCTATTGTACAACTTAATCCAAATCTTTTTACATCCGTTACAAATTCTTCATCATCTCATCATCATAATAATGGTGTTGTTGAACATGATACAAATAATAATGGTGATTATTATACAAATGGTGGTACAGTTTCACAACCAAATCGTCGTACAAAACAACAAAATAATGATATAGAAAGTGTACGTAAACAACCACAAATTCCTGCTGCTGCTGCTGCTGCTGTTGCTGTTACTCGTCCTGCCGTTATATCAAATTCAGCTGTACAAGTGAATAATGATATATCACCACAAAAACAACAAATATCATCTGTACAACAACAACAACAACAACAACAACAAACAGATTCAAATAAATCTAAAGTTGTTAAAGAAATTGAACGTATAGCTGCTAATCGTGAACAACGACGTGCTAAACAAGATGAACGTCGACAAAAATTATCGGAAATTGATCAATCAATACCAGCATGGGAATTTCAAGCTATGGTTAGTGAATATAGACAACAACTTGATACAAAATTATTAACAATGAATGATCCACAAAAAGATTTAAAAATATGTGTTTGTGTACGTAAAAGACCAATAACAAAAAAAGAATTAAATAAAAAAGATATTGATGTATTAACAATACCAAATAAAGAAGTTGTTATTGTTCATTTACCTAAAGTTAAAGTTGATTTAACAAAATATATTGATAATCAAAAATTTCGTTTTGATTATGGTTTTCATGAAACATGTAATAATGAACTTGTTTATCATTTTACTGCTCAACCATTAGTACAATCATTATTTCAAGGAAATAATCCTATGGTATTTGCATATGGACAAACTGGTTCTGGTAAGTTTAAAATAATAATTGAATATAATTTATGCATATAATCTTTTCTTTTTTTGTTTAGGTAAAACATATACAATGGGTGGTGATTTAAGTCAACGTGATGTCGATTTTTCCAAAGGAATCTATGCATTAACAGCAAATGATATATTTCGTCATTTAAATAAACCTCCTAATAAAGGTCAATTTGATGTTTATTGTACATTTTTTGAAATCTACTGTACTAAAGTATTTGATTTATTTAATGAAAAAAAACGTTTACGTGTATTAGAAGATCATAAAAATTTAGTACAAGTCGTTGGCAAAAAAGAAGAACAAGTGGAAAGTGTTGAAGATGTTATGACATTAATACGACGTGGTATGAGTGTACGTACATCAGGTACAACATCGGCTAATGAAAATTCATCACGATCACATGCCGTTTTTCAAATAACATTAAAGAAAAAAAATACAATAAAAGAATACGGAAAAATTTCATTAATTGATTTAGCTGGTAGTGAACGTGGTAAAGATACACAAACAAATGATAAAACAACATTAATGGAAGGTGCACAAATTAATAAATCTTTATTAACATTAAAAGAATGTATACGTTCATTAGGACGTAATGCTGAACATATACCATTTCGTGGTTCAACATTAACAAAAGTTTTACGTGATTCATTTATAGGTGAAAAAACTAAAGTATGTATGATAGCTATGGTATCACCAGGTAATAGTGATGTTGAACATACATTAAATACATTACGTTATGCCGATCGTGTTAAAGAATTAAATGTTGATGAACTTAAACAACGTGGTGGCGGTAATCCAGGACAAGTTATTGGAGCACATGATGATATGATATTAGGTCAACCACTTGATGAAGAAGATGAAATTGATGATGATGATTATGTTGATGATTTAGCTGGTATAAGTAATAATAATAATAATAATAATGTTAATACAAATCAAGCAATACCAACATCACGTTATGCTGGACAACAATCAAATATACCTAAAGTTCAACAACCAACAAATATTAAACGACCTGTAGGACATAAACAAAAATCTGAAGCAACACGTAAATTTGAAGAAGCTATTGCACGTTCACAAGAAATTGAAGATTTTACATTAGAATCCCATAATGAATTAATTGATGATTTACCACAAATTGTTGCTAATCATCAAAGTTTACTTGATTTATCAACTAATATGAATTATGATCGTGATGAATATGCTAAACAATTAATTAGTCTTATTGATACTCAACAACAATATTTAACTGAATTACGTAATAAAGCATTACAAATGCGAGAAGCTGTTGCTTATGAAGATTTATGTGCTAAAGCATTATCATCAAAATGATACACATATGGAAGAACATCTTCTTTTTTTTTTCTTTTTATATGCCACCGGTTTTTCTTTTTTTTCTCTCTCTTCTTTTTTTTCGGTGATACCTTCTCGCCTGCCGCTGTGTGTGCGTGTGTGTGTGTGTATTAGTCTGATAAGATGATCGCTGATGTACAGAAACATAAAGCACTTATTCCAATATTTCATTTGTTTCACCTATTGACATTTCTTTTTCTTTTTTTTTTGCTCTTGTTCTTATTATATGTCACATGAGTGTTACTGTTGTTCTTTAAAATTATAAAAGCATCAATATAATATGACTAAATATGTGAAATAATATAAAAAGAGTTCATTTTTTATGTTTAGGGTGTGGAAAAGAAGGGGATCAGAGAGCTTTGTTAAAAAATATGGAACGCTTTGCACTAATCATTTTAAAATAAAAGAATTGTCAAAGACTATTGCTTGTATTTTAGCTCGTTTTGAATAAAATTCGAATTAGAAATAAAATTTTGAAAATTTTTCTCTAGTACACAGCATGTATGAATTCAATTTTTTTTTTGTTCTGTTTATTGTCGTTGCAAAAATAATTGCTGGAATTTTGAGATATAATTCTTTATTCAAGGACATTGTATAAAAAAAGCTTTTTCATTAATATGACCTTGCTATAATATATATAAAAAACACATATCAACAAATTAAATGTCAACAGTAATGGCACTTAGAATGTAATACATTTTAATGTTCTTCGTTTATAAATATGCAATTTAGTTTATGTGACTTCTTTCAGCACATTCTTAATATTAATATGTTTATTTTTTGAAGACTCATATTTTTGAATTATTTCTTGAAACTACTGTTGCTCAAAGTTCTTCTAGACATTAACCTAAAAACAGCGTTTCAAAAGTTTTAGAACAGTTTTTAGCGTACCATTTTTAGTTTTTGCAGGCAAAGAATTATCGAAACCAAAAGGGAACATCTAAGAAAGCGCCTTCGTAAGTTTACTTGGAATACATTTAATAGCTTATTAAATTCATTCAACTTTCATGTTTTATTTATTCAATCGATTGATTGCAAAATCAGTTAAGTGTATACTAACTTTGCTATGTCACATATTTTTCAAAGCTTTCATATTCAGTCATTTGTTGCTGAATATAAAAGATAATAAGTCGACGAAAACTCAAAAGAAGCTCTTTTTACGATATTTCGTATTGGAGAATTAAATATATACGAAATTGACTTTTACTTCCAGATCCGAGACTAGGTTAAAAAAAACTTGTTCCCATATTAGATTGCGACTCAGATCGGAATACAAAAGTTTGATCCATCTTGGAAGCTGTCTCGTATTCTTCTAGTAGAGAACCATACCTTTTAAATCAAAAAGATTTTCTCTCTAAATCTAGAAAAGAATAAAATTCGAACTATTATATAGTTATTAATTCTTACATTTAAACGATGGTTCAATCTCACTCGAGGGTATGAATATGTTGCCTCTCTTCACCAAGACCCATCCATCTTATCATGCTAAATAAAGCTTCTACTTTTTCGCTTGTCATTTGAATAAATATTCTTTTTTTTTTCTGGATTCTTTTTCGCATTACGCTCCGTTCGTTTTTCTTCATTCTGTTCTATGCATACCCTTGACACGATATTTTTTTATCGGTTAGGGGAGAAGGCTAGATGTAAAGATTTGTTGCTCTTGTTTATTATCATCCATCAAATATATTGTGGAACATAACATTACATGAATCATTTTTGCGTGTCATCATTTTTCGAGTATTAAATGGCTTACTTCAACCTTGCTCTTAACCCAAAAGACGCTATTAAATCGAAATCAAGTGGAGGAAAAAGTCCAATCGACTTGACAAACTTTCATCCCTCGAATGGTAAAGCTGTTGGAGACGATTGGAATGTTCAACCTGGAGACATTATTGCATGGAGTGACTACAGAGCTGCAAATACATATTTGTGAGTGTACTATTAATATTTGTCGGTTGTAGTTTTCTCTATGTCCATTAATTATTTTAGAGAAAGATAACTTTGACATATTTCAATGAAAATACTGAAAAAATCTTCATCTAAAGATGAAATCACAATACTCGATTGTATTTTACACATTTGTCGCAGTACTATGTCGCTATTAGAGGATTCTTTAAGATTCGAAAAATAATAAGCAGTTCTTAGAACATATTTTGAAATTTATTTCTATTGAGAAGCATCTGTACTGGAATCGCGTGATTATTCAGAAATTAAAATATTGAACTATCATCTCGATTTCTCTGATTGACCTTGACGTAATACATTATTTATTAAAGAACATAAATAGGAATGCACCAGACGTAAGAGACAGGACAGTGAACCCAGTTCCAAACACATACAGCTTTTTATGAAAAAAAATCTACCAAATAATATTTAGAAAACTAACTTAACAATTAAACCGTCATAAAAATTATTACATAGTCTTTATTCAAAAGGCTTTTTTTAAACAAAGAAGCTCCAAATAAAAATCATTTCAATACGTTTATTTTTAAGATAGTGTCACAGAAATAGATATAAGCCTTTTTACATGATTTACATAGCTCGAGATCAACATATATTCGTTGAGTCAGCATATAGTAAGACTCATAGTTGCATAAAAGAATCAAACTCTAGATATTTATTGTTCAATAACAAAATTTTAAGTCAATTTTCCTATTTCAGTGTTGATGAGCAACGTCATCTATTAGAGAACCACGATACTTCTGGTTCAGGCTACTTAACCATTCCTCTTTCAATAACTCGACTTTTTCCTTCGGCTTTGAAACATTACGCATCATTACTCGAAAAAGAGTCGTATATCGTGGCTGAAATCGAACTTGGTCCTACTGACGGTATCTTCGTCGAGAAATTTGGTTCTCCACTACCAGAAATGATTCGTAATAGAAATGATATTTCGTATACGGTCAATCCTGAAGAATCCACGTTCTATGTTACAGTTGGTAAAAATAAAGCTCATGAATTTCCACTGGATGGAACCAAAACAAAAGATATTGTTGATTATATAGAAGTTGCAAACGAGAAGAAAGCTGCGTTCATCGTCACATATGATATTCAGGTATAATCGACTATGACTATTATTGAGAAAACCAAAACTAAAGTCTTGACTTATTTTCTTTAAGGGAGAAGAAGCATACAAGAAATGGCCAGGTCGTTTAGGCACTAGTTTACTACCTGCTGGATGGTCATGTGATCAGCACGGTTCTTCGTCTGGCGGACAACATCATATAAAGGGCGCATGGAAACTACAAGGACCGGAAAAAACCAAAGAAGCAGTGCACGAAATCGCAAAGATATACTACGATGAATTCGGAGTCAATATCAGTTGGCAAACGAATTAACGCAAAAAAAAACCAGAACAAATTGCTTTTGCTGCTGCCGGCTTTGCTCTAAAATATACAAATATTGCTTTCAATAGTTTTACATATTAAATTTTAAGTTTATCGGAAGGATGTGGATAAAGATGAAGAGAAGGTCTATATCCATAGCCGAAGTTGCGGAATGAACAACAAAGATTAACTAAGGTTGGCATGATCAACAAGAATCAAGAGCACTGATTGAGATCTATTTCAATGAGAATTCGTCAGAAAATCCAATTCTTTATTTGCTCACAAATCAGTTTTAAATAAATCAGGTAGTCAGTGTTCTTTCGGAAATAGAAGTGTTACTGAGTGGAAAAATCTGAACTCAAAAAAACTTCTCTTTTCAAATAAATCTTTTCACAAAATTCTAGAAAGAATTTTTCCTTCGCAAAACTTTGCTTAGTAAAAGTCGTTTGAGATAAATTGTATGAGAAACTCTTACCTGGTTTATTGATGAGAATAAAATAGTCTGTCTTGTTGTGTTATCGGTAGTAGTAAAAAAGTGAATGTACAGCAAATACACATCAAGATGAAAACATTACAGATAAGACGCCGACTGTCATCAACTCGAAATAACGAATAAGAATTGATTATGAAGGCCAAAAGTGAAATTTTTTATTTTGTCTGAAGTTTTTATTACAGACACTCTGATTAGTTTATTCAAAAGAGATTTCTTCGAAGGATGGTGTACAGAAATGGTAAAACTTGTTAATGATTCCTAAGGAACGTTGTTAATGTTATTTTGAAAGATTGATTTAATCAAGAAGATATTTCACAGCGTTTATTGTTTCAAATATTTTTTCATTTGGGATTGATCAGAATGAGATTTCGTTTGCTTGATTATTGATCGTCATTTCAAACCTCAAATCATGTTTCACAGATTATATTTAATGTTAAATCCAAATTTTCTCAACAATATCAAATCAAAACATGATCACCAATGATGAAAAATCTTTTTAGATGAGATAGAGAAAAATGAGAAAGAGACTATCTTCGAATAGATGATGATTGATCACTGTCGAACGATTACTTCACTAAAAGGTAGAATGACTTCGATTTTGGTATTTCTTCACCAAACGATGTTCAGTTTCCTCCAATGAGTCGTATCAAATAGAGATTGAATTTGACCAAGAAAATCTATTGGATCAAGTACTCACATCTCCTGTGTCAAGCATTAATCAGACGATGGATAAAATGCATTTCAAAATTTGACCATCATCAAGTTGAATGGTGAAGAGCTAAAAAAGATGTTTTCCAGTCCAAAATGTTTGAAAATCGATTAGAATCATTACGCCAGTTTTACAGATGTTAAGAAAATCTCGGAAATATTTGTAACAAAAGTTTTTCATGAGTCTTCATGTTATTGACGTCTTTATTCAGACTCATTTATTGTAAGGACATTATTCAAATCTTCAATATCAATAACGTAGTCTCACAAGCCGATCAAATGGTTTCTTTCGTCTTCATCCTTTTCTGTACGAAGAATTTTCTCTCGAAATTCTTCATTCGAGACGAAGAAGTCATTGTGAAATTTGATCGAGGAAAACATTATCTCAAATGATCGAATGAACGACAATCTAAAATCTTTTCCAGACTTAACAAACACGCTCGTCAACAACCTTAGATCGCGTAATTATTATTATATTAGATATTATTCATATTATGATCGTACTTCTCCATATTGTTATCAAAAGAGTCGATTATCTTTCTTTTGTTTACATCAATAAAAACAAGAAACGAAAGTTCTCCCAAGGCATCTTTTTCAATTAATGCATGCGAGTTAAATTATTTAAAAAGAACGAAACATAAAAATCATTCTAATAATATTTGTTATCAAATTATACAAAAGCAACATTTTTATATAAGCTTCATTCACCAGCTATTTTAAAAGATTAATTTATTCATGAAAAGAACTATTTATTCTTAGATTACCCCTGACTGGCATCTTTCATAATTGGTAAAAATTCATTTTATGAGAAACTTTTTGAATTCGTCTATTCATTTTCATTCCTAACTAATTTCTAAAGAAATATCAATAAAATATTTTATTAATTAAAAGATCATCTGAGATTTGCTTTGTTGAAAGAAATATCAGAAATAGCATTCAAGAGCATAACACAAACAAAAAAATGATTACTTAACAGAATGTTTTGGTTTCACATTCTCCACACTTAATAGCAAGTTCCATATCAATCAGATTACCATCTACATATATTTTTAGATGAAACTTAAGCGTTGAATCCATATTTTCGCTGGTGACGTAGTAACTAGAGGATCGTAGGTGGTAGAGCAATGCTATACAATCTTGAAGATACTCTATCAATTATCAACAGGATACCTGTCCAGTTTCTATAGTATTTTATGCAAATTTTTTTAACAAGTTAGTAGATCGAACATTTAGAAGTATGTTGTCGTCATGTGCTCAAAATCTGTAAATTACTCTAACGTACTTGAAGCACCTAAAGGTTCTCGATGGCATACTGGTATCAGTGTATTCTGAATTCAGTACACTCACTAGGATACAATATAGCTTCAATTATGGTAATTACTGCGTTTTTCTTTCTTCTGGTAAAAGGAAGGATGATGCTCAGCCTAATCTGTCCTTAGTTATGCCTCTAATTTTCACTAACTCTTTTTTTTCATTTTCAAATATTTAAACGCTGTTAAATTCTAAACCCATTCTATAAATGGCACTCGCGCGTCTGTTATCGATTAATAAAACAATGAAGCCGGTAATTAGATGCTACTTGTAATTCATTAAAGATGCATCTAAATGGAATAAATGTAAAGGAACGAAGTTATTAGAGATCTGTATGGTTCTAGCGAAGACGCTGTTATGATGATTTCAACTAGATCGTATTTTTCTAACCATAACCATCAATAAAACAAACGGTGGCGTTCAAAACCGTTATATTATAATATTTCCGTGAATTTTTTAGTTTAAACAATTTATTGTACATTAATTAAATAAAAAAAAATATCCTAATTAGCAATTATCTTATATGGCCATTTACTTTTCGTTGATTATTTTGATCAAAAGAAATGCGCGAATGACTAGCGAAAGGGGATGAGATTAGATTAAAGATACGAGTGATGTGAGTGCGAGTTAGAATGAGTGTCTTCTCTGTACCAGACACGAAATCGACACCGGTCAGATTTTGAGATCAGTTGATCCGATCATATTTGATTTACTCAGATCTGTACCGGTAGCGGTCGTGAAAGATGCATACAAATTCGATCTCTGTCCTGTATCGTCATCCTCATTCGACAGACTAATTATCCGATTCCATACTTACCCTCACTAGTCATATGCTCGTTTCACTTCCGATAAGAATATGGTTCATTGGAATATATTTTTTGTATGTAGTCAATGAGCAATAAATCTTATACTTGGATTGCTTCTAATTTCAAATATGAATATTTAAATAACTCCTAAAACATTCGTACCTTGATTCTGTCTACATGTACTCATTGAATTCATTTTTATTGTTAAAATAGTAACAAATATACGTATACCTATCATGAAAAGCAATGATAATTTTACAGTGGTGAAAAGAACAAGTTGTTCAGTTGAATTGAAACAACATTTCTCGACAAATATTTTGATTGATTCTTTAAAATAGAAAACAATACACGATTGTCTGTGAGTGTCTATTAGTAAATAAGATTAAAAATTTCCTATTTGTCTTCTTTCTCATTATAAAAATCAAGAAGGTATGCTTTTTAAAAAGATTGTGACATGACAGATGGAATACAAACGATTATTTTTAGTTCTTTTCCTTTTTTATTCTTCTCGTCCTTCTTCCTACTGTGACTGGTCTGCTCTATTAAATTTCTGCTATTGATAAATTATACACATGTGTTTGTCAACATCACAGTGTGTTAAAACTCTGAAAAAGACAGTTCAATCATCAAGATCGAATGACATCTTCACTTTGACTTATTCCTTTACTAATTTTTTCTTTCTTCTGGTTCGTGGAGTAGGTATGGTCTCGACTTACTGCTCTGGGAAAAAAAAATTGTCCTCACATTCCCTTAATTCATTTATTCCACTAGCAAAAACAATGATTTTCATCGTTGTTGTACCATTACAACTTCATATAACTCATTTTTCTCATTTCATATTGAACAGTTACTTAAGAAAGAAAACTCCATCACAGAACATACGTTCATTTTACTAGATTTTCTTTTTGCTTTCTTCCATTCATTGTCAACTACTAGCTATCGATCATTGGAGAGTATAATGATCATGATCTCTATTCTCATTTTTTTTTTCTGTGAACAAATACACGGTAAGACAGACAATAGTGTCAAAATATATTAAGTGTCTTTCTTTGTCTTCTCATCCCTTTGGAAGGAAGCTCTCAAATGGGAAATAGAAAATTTATCATTCAAATTTGACTATTGAGCTGGCGGTGAGAGAGAGAGAGAGAGACAAAGAGAAAAAAGGCCATGATGATGATGACGGTCGTATTGTTATTGTGTATTCACTAGACATACATCAAAGTTATTTCTCTCCTCCTTAATAGATTTTATATATGCATCGGAAAAATCAAGATGTCAACGAATAGTATTCGATAAAAAGACGATGAACGAAAGAAACACTTATATATATAGGATTGAGTATTAAAAAATAGGTTTTTTTTTTCTAGACATATGTGTCAGCAGAATACATAATGAAGACTCACGCTGTTATTAAAATTAGTCAATCAGGTATTTCTTCTCTTTCTTTTTAATGAGCATTTGATTGAGACGAACGATTAGCTTTTTGTTTTTAGTAGATTTCAATAATCTATTTTCATCTCATAATTCTACAAAAATAAATCGACAAACAAATTCATCTATTGAGGATAATGATGAAGTAACCAAAACTACAAGTTGTGACAAAAATAAAGTAAGTAGTAACCAAATACATGATAATAAAACACGAGACAATTATCAACGGATTTACTAATAAGACTAAGAATAAAGAGAAAAGAAAATGCCTTTTTTTTTATAGATTTCATTGAGAACAATAATGTTTATGTATTGAGAAATATTCATCATACAGGTATTGAATAAAAATTGTAATATGTCATTTATTTATTGCAAACGTTGACACTAATGATAAAATATAAATGAGAGAGAGGGAGTTACTGTTTTTAATCTGGTGTAATACTTATTATAAAAAGTTTGTCTGCATAATATTTTACTATAAGAAGAAAAACAATTGAGTTCTTTTCTTTAATTTAGGTTGATAATCATATAGAAAATTCTGATTCCGAATTAGAAACTCAAAATCATCATCAATATTCTTGTTCACAATGTGGAAAATCATTTACAACATTAAGTGGTTTAAAACAACATAGGCATATTCATTCATCAATAAAACCATTTCAATGTGAAGTTTGTTTAAAATCTTATACACAATTTTCAAATCTTTGTCGACATAAACGAATGCATGTTGAGTGTCGAACAAAAGTTAAATGTAGATTTTGTGGAGAAATGTTTTCAAATAGTACAACACTAAATAAACATCGGTAAATATTTTAATATATTTCCTGACTAAGATTAAGTGTGTTAAAAACTTAGCTAAGTGAAGTTGGGGATAAAACTTTTAGGGAACCTTCGTTTAAATGAATAGCTTTGCTCGTACATAGTCTGTGAAAAGACAACTAATAGTTTTTTTCGATAGCCATCAGAATGAACTGCATAGATGAGATAAGAATGTTCTTATAAGTACATTTCAGTTCTTATGGCACAAATTATTTGGTTGCAATAGACAAAGTTTTAAGGCATTTTTGATATTTTATTAAGACCTTCTCATAAATCGCTCTTTACTCAAGTATATTCAAATAGCAAAAACCTTTCAGGATATGTTGAATTTGTTATGGAGAGACTAAGACAAAATTTTCAGTCCTGTAGCGTTATGATTTGGGGAGATATTCAATTAAAAAGAGTCAAAAAAATAACTTATTTGGCAACCTAAAATTCTCTGTAGGCTTTCATTCCATAGCATTAGTTCTTTTGTGTGTGAAAGAGCATGTCAGACTCTTTTTTTATATTCTTCCTTTATAAGAGAACAGCAGGGATGAAAAGTTTATTTGAAAAAACTCGCAAAAACTGATGCTTTAATTATCAGAGTACTTTTTTACATAATAGTAACGAATCTTAATTCAAAAAACGAGTTCTGTCATGCTGTTCATCTTGACCTATTCTTTTAGACAGAAAAAGAAGGCCATTGGCTACAATGAAGCTTCTTCTAGGATTCTAGAATGTCCAATCAAAAGGAAAGATACAAAAATAAAAAACGAGAAAGATTTTCCACTTTATCTGAAAAAAAAACGAGTTGCAAAGTACAAATAAAACTATTTGCAAAATAAAAATTCACTTACATTTTTATCCTCTCACTTTCTCTTCAAGTCTTTTGATGTCAACAAAATAAAACTCTTTTGTTTTAAGACATTTCTGTAGTGGCATAATATCATCATCTTCATCATTGCATCCATCAATATTCCTCAATAAGGAACAGATCAATAATCGTTTCTGGAATTCAAATTTACCATTGTATCTTCTTCCTTATCTACCACGTTTAACTTCTACAGATTTATTTATTAATGGAAGATTATCTTCATTTTTATTTCCATTGTCATTAAATACAATTGAACAGGAGACAACAATAAATACAAATGATGATAGTATTCCACTTGATTTAAGTGTTAAAAAATCTCCTTCATGTCGAGAACGTTCTTCATCATCATCATCAAGTTCATCTTCACTTTCATGTGAAATAATAAGTTCTCATTTACTATTATCAAATGATCAACAAAAACAAAATACATCATTATCAAACAAAAAAAAAGATAAACAACAATTAATAACACCAATAAATCATTCGAATTTATTTCATAGTCAACATCATCATTTATCAATAGATAAATCATATTATTTCAATACTCAATTATCAAATAAATATAAATATATATGTTCTTATTGTGGAAAAGATTTTCCTCGTTCAGCAAATTTAACTCGACATTTACGAACACATACAGGCGAACAAGTAAATTATCATTCCTTTTCTATCAATATTTTTACCTATCTTAATAATCAGTACTAACATCATTCTGAGTATTTTTAAGACATTGATCAGAGCTATCCAATGAACTCATAGAATTAAAAACCTGTTAGTGCAGTCTCTACGAGATTAAAATATAATACACGATGTAGTGACACGTTACTATTCACAGAAAGATTGTTTTATTCTATCTATCTTGGGACACATTTATTCATCGTCCTTTTCCTTAATCCTCAAGACATTCATTAAGGAAGTAGTTCATATATTATAAAAAGACATTATTGGTATACGGTTTGTGACAGGAGAGAGGTGAGACGTTACTAAGAATATATGTCACATCTGTAGGAGTTCAAAGTTCTGTTCTTATACTTCAATACTCCTAATAAATCCTGTTTCAAAAAATATTCCGCTATCATTCAGCTCTCGATCTGCTGGATAATAGAGTTTTTTATTGAGTCAATATATGTGTTCAATGCACTAGCAGCGTCTATCTTTGATAGAATTTGATATGCGAAATTCGCAGAGATGTATTCAAAAACCAATTTTGGTTTCTTTCTTTTTTTAATTATAATTTCGAATAATATTTTGTTTCCATTTGCCAATAGTTTAGCATTGGAAGTAATTGAAAAAAAAACAAATCTATTTCTTATAGATTTCGTTGCAATAGATAGAATATTGACTCTTTAGGGAAAAACTTATTCTAATTTATTTTCACATAAACAATTAATCAAGATACTATATTTTTCTTAACAACAAATATCATGGTACTCATTGTATCCTGAAAGTTTAAATTCGATCGGATGATTCTCATTTAAGATAAAACATTTGTAAGAAACACGATTTCTTTCCAAAATAGGCCTTTTTTTATCTATGTCATATCGTAGGAAAACTTCATCCGTTCCTGTTGAAACTTTCAGGATATAATAAGTACAATGATACTTGTTATTGAGGAAAATGTTAAACGAAAACTCCTTATCGGGACTTCGTCCGTAATATACTCAAAACTAGGTAAATGATCATAAATCGAGCAGAGAAGTCTACAGGCACGAAGTCGTTTAAAATACTTATATAAACTAGGAGTCCTACTTATGAACAAAATACAAGCTCAAGCATTGGGTATTAGTTGAAAATATCTCTTCACTATTTAATTCTCTTAAGGTTAAGATGATTAACTTTTTCTAATAGTTTTGAAAATTTAAAATCAAATCAGTGGATCAATATGACATTAAATGTTCAGAATAAAATGTGATCTAAACCGCTCGATATGCTCAAAAGTTCAATAATAGTTGAGTGTGATAGCTTCTTTTTATTAGAGACATGTACGTATTTCTATTATAATTTTATTCATAGATGATACTTATTTTAAGTAAATAATCTGATAATGTAAAATGTGTAGTGAACAAAAATAGAGTTTCACTAGTATTATGGAATAAACATGAAGAATCACTAGAAAATCAAATTTTGAGTGATGAAAATTAAATTGAGCAATGGAAACTAAAACTTCGATATGTCTTTACTTGTCGAGTAGTCAACATTTCGATAGTTTTCGAGAATTTCACATTCAATAGTTACTAAAGTGTCCGGCCTATCAGGTTCGCACCTTACTTGATTTATAAAAAAATTTTTTTCTAGCCTTATGGTTGCAAATATTGTGAACGATCTTTTTCCATATCATCGAATCTTCAACGTCATATACGTAATATTCATAATCGTGACAGATGAGTTTCATGTCATTTATGTAATGGTAACTTTGTTCAACTAACTAATCTTAAACGTCATTCAATTCAAAATGAACATGGTTAACAATAATTTTAAAATTAATTTAAGCTTATATTTTATTCTACATATTTATTATAGTCGTAATCAATGATATTGTTTTAATATTAGAAAATTTTCCACTAGAGATTTACAATGAGAAAGTAATAAATAGAATTATTTCCAGTTAAGATCAATAGCACGAATATGAATAAATTCATTTAATCGATATTCTCTCAAAGCACTTTATTTGTCATCTGTAATTATAGAAAAAGTATTTTTAAATAAAAAAAAGCATAATTAAACGAATTTCGTTTTGCTTAAAATTTGCTATCATATCCAATCAAATTACCTCAATGGTTGACACGAAAGTTTCTCCACTAAGTGTTTATTCTTTTTCTAGTCATAAGAGTAGGTATATGTTTGAACGTAGTCAGCATATTATCGAAAAGGTAATCCGACACAAATAGCTGTTAATGGCTTGAGTAGAGTCATTCCATGCCTGTTGATACTGAGATTTGCACATAGTACATTGTAAATACATGTCGAACAACGTTGTCACTCAACGATGATGGCATATAGGTATGTGGCAAATATGACCTAGTTCCACATAAACAAGTAAAAATGAAAAATGCCTGAGATTCGCAGAGATACTTTATTCATCATTAAAATGGCCACGGTTAAATTTTAGTTCTGTGATGCCTGCTTATGACATGTCAGAAATTTCACGAGTTCCGAGCGAAATAGAAGTTCTTTCATCTGCTGTAGTCTCCTTTCACAACCGTAAATGTTTATCAAAATAAAAATTTAACTTGAACCTCAATCACTGAATTTTATAATGATCTGAAATAAACCATTATTGCTTGAATTTGATTGTGCATTCAGTTCTTTCGAAGAAATATTCTAAACGTTTTAAATTGCAAGATCACTTTATTTCATAAACTATATTGTAAACTACAAGATGGTTAATTTTTTCTTTCATTTACAGAAAATCAATGTTCAAAATGACGAATAGTTTTTATTTCTGTTCAATATTAATCATTGTATTTGTACGCAAAATAGTATTTATATGAATTGTAGACTCATCAGGTTTTGGTTTTCTAAAGAAGCTTTGAAATTGTCGACGAAAACCACTATTTGAGATTAGTGATACATAAAAACTAGTTGCAAAAAATGTGTACGACACTAAATGAATGAATTCAACGATGACTTTTTCTATCGCAAGTTGTAAAGGTGACTTTGGCCAATATTGAGTTATATTTGTGTAAATAAGTTCAGCCGCATATGGTGTATATGTTGTTATAGCAATGATTGATTGTAATATAAGCATGAATGTAAGTCGAGAATCAATCTGTTGAAGAACTGATCGTTTTGTAACAGTTATCGGAGCCACATTATTATCAGGAACAATGCGCCGTTGAATAACATCTCGGACACTTTTTATTAATAAATAAGCAAGTATAACCATGATTATTGGTGTACATATTGCTGTAAAAACAACTTCAATATAATTATCAAAATAAGCATAGAAGCCTGTCAAAGGACCACATTTTCCATTGCTAGTACTATATAGTATAAGTCGATGACCAATAAATAATAGCCAAAAGAGTACACATGTAATACTCATGATGTAAGCTAATCTTACACGATTGCTCCATTGACGATATGCTTAAATGAGAAGAATAAAATGTAATATCTTGTTTCTCTCAGCAATGAAAAGTATAAGTTAATTATTTTCATTAATTAGTAGAAGAAATGATTCAAACACAAGCCTATTTATAAATTTATAGCTAGAAGAACAAAGATTACTTTTCTGTAAGGTTCTATTCTGAGAAAAGCAGGCAAGAGAAAGCTCAACTACTTTACATTCACTGAAAAAGAAAATATGAAATATTTAACAAATATTCCGCGTCTAAAAATATGAATAAGTCATGAGTTTCGGTAATATACGTTATTTTAAAAGTGTTTTCCAAGGAAGGTGACTGACTTCTTATAAGGGGTGCATACAAGCAGAAAAATAATTTTTTGTTTAGCGAAACAGTTTTTATGTAGACCCCTTCTAAGTATTTTATGTCAATAGGGGTGCATTCCTAGGTGTGAAATGTTGATAATCATGTAACAAATAACGTTATCTAGTATCATCTGTCGTGCTTAAGCTATACAAAAATGTTTATTCAATGCTGATGCAAGTAAAAAGACAGTCTTTCCAAAATGAAAAAAAATCATGGAAATTTTTCGAGAAACGCCATATTAGAGTCAAATTTCTTCTGAGAGTGTATTAAAATTTAATCTTTGTCAAAAAGTCATATATGCAGTAGATACCAAAATTATTGAACAAGTTTTACTTTCAATTTATTTTCTACTGCTGTAAGCGCTGGAGAGAATCCAGAGAGGTAATAATTGGTAATTACAAAATGACGAGAAAAAACTACACAAGTCTCATGTATATCAGCTTCTATAATTTAATCGATTGTCTTCATGAATCATTACCAATGTCTAGTTTTACTATTCAGATTTTTAAATTTAATATGAAATGTTTTAGAGGAAAATGATCTAATATCCAATTAATTAACATTTATTTTCTAGACTTACTATTCGAACGTTGTGCAGATAAAAGTCGATCAATTGTTGCAAATGAAAATAAATTAAATGAAACTTGATGACTCCAGACAGAAACAAATTGTCGAAGTTTGCAGAGAACATCATAACGTGTAGTTATTGGAATTTGAAATCCTTTTTGAAGTACTCTTGTAAGTAATAGAAAATCAAAGTAAATAAAATCCGACATTGCTTCTGATAATAAATAAATTGAATAAGCTCGTTTGCGAAATGTTCGAGAACTAAATACAATCATATTTCCAATAGAACCAAGATTACCTGCTACCCAAATAAATAAACCAAGCCACATATTCAATTGATAAGGTGCAGCTAAAAGAGCACTACTAACACTGCTTGATGTAGTATTCATCGTTGATAGATGGATTAGAAACAGATACACAATCTTTCAAATGTCTTACTCGATATTGATGAAGAAAAAGTTCTTTTTTCTATTTATCTTTGCTAGAAAAATAGTTCCTCAATAGAATCTAAGAATTTTTCTTTCAAAATACAGGAATATGTGTCTATTATTTTCCATAATGATAATAACATACATTATTTTATTTTATGACGCTCATCCGTATGTAATTGATGAAGATACGTGGACCATAATTTTCTTTTTTTTGGCAATTTGATGACGCTCAAAATATATTGTTAAAAATGTTTAGCGAAGCATTATATCCAACTAATTAATACATACTTTAAAAATTCTATTTTTTGAAAAAAAAAAAACGTTCTTTCTATTTCAAGAAAAACGCTTTAGTCATAGTTTGTGTTAGAAGCAGTTACATAATGTTTTCACAAAGCTGCGATGATGTAGAATGATTTACTTCGTTAGGTTACAGTTCGTACTCTCTAGTATACTCGTCAAAAATTTCCGATGAATCCATTGATCTGTTTAGTTTCTATCGATAATACAATTGCTGCATGTCGTTTACCATCCTTTTAAGATTTTTGAAGTATTTATTGCTACGCAGCTGTTATAAGTTGAAGCGTTCTTGTTAATTCAGAATTTAAGAACAATCAATGTGGGATTAAAATGTGAACCATGATGTAGTTGCTGGCGATAATCGCAGGAAGATTGTTTTGAGACACATTTCTTCACCATCATTTTACTTAACCCCTGGAGAAATGTAAGGACGAAATAGCTCATATAATAGAAGAAGACGTTATTGATATACGTTGTTGTTTAATCGTATATCAACAACGTCTGTTGATAAGTCACTTCTTACATGTCTACCACATCTGTGAGAAGGCTTTGACAGTTTAAATTTGTATGGAAGCTTGTTTCTGACAAAACTCTTTTATTTGAAGTCAATTTCCATTAAGGGAAGTATATCAAGAGAGGAAATAAAATTTCGAATAACATGACATGTTAAGTTTCATGTGATATATCTTTATTTGATGATATACATGTTCCGTCTGTTGTTGTGGCTACAATAAACTTTGTACTATATAGTACTATTTATAACATAACAAGGATGTATAATCAGTTTTGATTTCAACTATAAGAATTTTATACAAAAAAAAAAGAGTTTCTTACAAATTCATATAGTCAAAACAATGTTTCATATTTTCTTTAATGCGTAAATGGGACTGCGTGAGAAGATGTATCTGTAGCCGGTGTATAGGCAGGAGACGACTAAAACAGCTGAAATATTTACAGAATGAGACATAAATAATACAAGTGTTAGAAGTTTATTTTAATTTTTTCTTCATATGGATGAGATAAGCAAATAAGACTATCACATGTTATTGTCGTTATCAGTCAATCAGTTTTACTTGTCTTTATGTAAAAAAATACAAATGTAGCGTTTCAAAGACGATTTTTAGTTCTTATCTAACAAAAAAAAATACGAAAAAATCAAAACGAACTCTATAAATGATGCTATATGGGTACATAATGAGCGAAGAAAAATACTTTCAATAATTTTCTACCACTGGCTAATAAATTAGGTCAATCGAGCGAACTGAAGCAAAGACATTTTAATTTTTATCGTAGCGCTATTCACGGTTCACCTTGCATTGAACAATACAATGTGCTAAATATCATATTTAAAAAAAAATCTCTTGTGGCGTTCTGTTGAAAATTTTCGGTATATGTCAAACAAAAAACATTTTTTATTAAATTCATACGAACAGAAAAACTATGATAAAAGAAGTATCAATCCGTATGCTGAGTATAATTTGTTCTTTCGAATCACGTAGAAAAAAGAAACTTCAGCTTACGGCAGGTACACAACAATAAATGGTTGAATAATTTCAAACGGATACAAAACGGCAGGCTGCAATTGTATCGTGAATAAAAACTAAACAGATTAATGGATCAGCCTGGAAATTTCTTACGAGTACACTAGCGATTATGAACT